GGCGGTGGTCGAGGCAGCGCTGCCAGACGCAGCAGAGCCAGACGCGGAGGCAGAAGATCCAGCGGTACCAGTCGCAGTAGCCCCAGAAGCGCCGCCGCCGCTGGACGTAGCCGTGACCAGCCCCGTAGCGGTCGCCGACGCCGTCGCCGTGCCGTCCTCGGAGGTGATGACCGCGGCCGCGCTGGTGCAGATGGCGTCGCCGTACTCGGCGAGGATGCTGGAGAACTGGGGCACGTCGGAGCAGGCCTGGTAGAGGGAGCGGATCTCGGTGATGTGGGCGTCCTGCCAGCTCTGGAGGGCGGAGGAGTAGGAGGTGATGAGGGCGCCGGCGGAGCCGGTGATGGAGGGGAACTGGCACGGGTCGGTGATGGTGGGGACGTCGACGTCGGTGTAGGTGGCGAGGGCGGTGGGCAGCTCGGGGAAGTCGTCGACGACGGTGGAGTGGGCGGCGTAGGCGGACAGGCAGGCGGCCTCGTCGCGGGCGGCGAGCTGGGCCTCGGCGCGGCGGAAGGCGTGCGGGAGGGTGCCGGACAGGTCGCGGACGGCGAGGACGGCGGCCGGGAGGGTGGCGGCGAGGAGGAGCTTGGACTGCATTGTAGCGGTTGTGATTGTTGGTGTTGGTGGTGAAGGGGTGTGTGTGAGCGGGTGAAGCTGGTGAGACTGGTTAAAGTCTTTTTGTGGGATTACACGGCAGCTTGGCTTTGGGGCTGGAGAGAGAAGAAACAAGAAGACATGGACGATGGGGGGCGGGATGTGTTCAGCTCTTTAGTATCATGTCACCGGCTGAATTCATGTAGACACCCTTGTTCTACGATTACTCGATTGGAGATGGTTCAGATGGGGTATGGTGTGTGACTGAGTGCCCCAGAGAATCATTCACTGGGTCTGACTAGGCGACTTGCCTACGGATACAGCAAAAATACAGACATCGTCAGGCAGGCCAAGCGAATAGGAAAGGGAGCCAAGCCAACCGAGACAGTCGGGCAATCTCGTTTGCCCCCCTGAATTGGCGCCGAGTGTGCTGTGTGTGCCTGCTGCCTGCTCCGGCCGGGCGAACGCCGCGGCAGGGCGTGATGCAATGATCGCCCACGCCCGGTGCCGTGGGTCCGCGAAGGGATGATGGGTCGACGGGAGAGAGCATATTCGTTCCTACCTTCTGTTGAGAATTGGACCGAACTGGACTCTGTTCTTGTGCCTGGGACAGGGGTTTGTTGGACGCTAAGCTACGGCGAGGATGTGTGAAATTTGGGAGTGGTGGTTAGGTGTTCGGAAGATAATGCACAGCGGCACGGGAAAGGGGCAAAGAAGCAGCCTCCGGCAACTGTCATTCACTGCTTTGCCGCTTGGGATCTCGAAGGTGTGCAGTCTTGACGGAATCTGGCATGTACCTCGCCCTCTTTCTGCAGCCTGCAATGGATGATGGATCGCGTTCCCTGTCGCTGAACCCGACAAGTGGGAAATCTCCAGTAGGAGTCGCGATGTGGTGCGGTCCAGCTGTTCGGCCGCGAAAAGGGCGAGCTTTTTTGCGCTGGCAAAGATCTGTTGATTCAGTGATTCTACTGTCTATCAGAGATACGGACAGGGATGAGCTGCAAAAGTCCCTTTTTGTCGGCGACCAGAAGGACATGACATCCCTGCTGAGCATCCTCAGGTTGAGTGTGGCTCCGCCGTTCGCGTGATGCCGCGCGACCATTTAACCAGTTAAAAACTCCGACGCGGGAGATTGCGAGGACCGCTTTTCAAACGTGGATTTTTTTTTGATGGTAGTCTGCACTGTGATTTGTTGGTTATCGAGAAATATGGGACGGAAGTGGCTTTTGCTGGCTTTGAAGGATTCACGCAGGTCTTGGATTACCCCAGTTTCCTGCTCCTACTGGAGAGAGGCAGCAGAATAACGTATGGAGGTGACGAAAGTCAAGAACCGCATCGTGAGGCTGAGTTGCGAAGGAACCGAAACAGTGCTTGGCATACACGAAGTGCCGTTGTTGCAAACAGGACGGCAACGATATGTTCCATTGTCTGCCTCTACCCGCCGTGCATTCTCGAATCTCCCGAAGCCGGGGTGGCTCATTTCACGTCCAGGCGGCCGATGTTCTCCTGCAGGCAGCTGAGCGGCACGGTACTTTTCCCATTTAACTTGTGCCATCCGAAGAACCGAATATTTCAGCTAGCCTACCAAACTTTTCTTCCGTTTGCTATTGTATTTCTTAGCTACCTATGGTTTTCAGCTCCCCACGACCTGAGTAACGGCTCCAACGGCATTTCCAACGTTGCAATGGTTTACATCCTAGACACAGCCTCGATGCATTACACACCGCGTCGCGCTAGTGCTGACGGCGCCAGACGCCGTTTTGCCTGTCGTTCGGAGCCTGTCCCGCTGCAGGGCTTGGCGTTTCCCCCTCCCGCTTCTGTGTCAGCCTGAGATTGGCAGCTATGGTTACTGGAAGCGTGACGGAGTGGCTCCGGAAGGAATGCGCTGCGCTACACATTGTTGGCATTTGCGGTGAGTTGAAGATGTGTAGGCCGCAGTGGGGAGGATAAGGATCTTATCTCACGCAGCTAGCGACGGCCAACGTTTGGTCAGTCTTATCCTCGCATTCGTTTTATTGATGAGGCATGTGAGTGAGATTGAGAATCCCCATCTCTTGGTGGGTTATTAAATTCCAACGGCGGGAGTCTATCTCGACCCGGCCCCGGGACTTTTGGCTTCCAACAGAACTTCGGCGTCCCTTTCGAAGACGGGCATGATCTGCGACCCCGAGTCATTCTGTAAACAATTCTCGGGATAATAAGGCCAGCTGAAAGAAGGTTATTCAGACTTGCCTTCGGAGGACATCCGAAGCACCTAGCTCATCTTCAGCCCAAGCCCGAAGGAACAACAGACCGTAGCATCAAAACCCTAAACTGCCCCGAACCTCAACCAAAAGTCATCCCCCTCAACTCAAAATCAAGACCGGTTTCTCTTGTGAGCATGGCAGGTCCAGAAGCAGCCAAGTGCCTCCCAAACACCGAAGCTCCAATAAGCAGCCCGCGCGGCGTAAGCCACCGGCTCAGCCATTCGGCGCCCGGTCGTCGGTAGGGCTGACGCGCGTTTTCTAAATCCAATCGTCTTCGTTCGGGCCAACGGTGCATGTGTGTCGGCACAAAGAAGTTGTGGAAGGCCATATTTGGCAGCTCGTGCTGATGCTGACATCGCCTCCATGCAGAGGCTACGTCAAAGGATTCACCGCGGGGTATCTTGGGGAGGAGGCTCTTTGATGGATGATTGTTTATAAATGTGGGTTGTGCTGGTGGATCGGTGTCCTTGTTTAGTACGCTGTCTGTACCTTGCTCAAATATCGAAGGCATATCAACATGAAGAGCGCATTCATACCAATCGCTGCCCTTTCGGGGTTGTTTGCGTCCTTGGCAACTGCACATGTCGAAATTTCGTACCCAGGATGGAGGGGGAACAACATTATTACGAATGAAACGTTCCCGTTCGGGATGCAATGGATGTATCCATGTGAGTTTTGCCAGATACCACGCCTGCGTGATCAAGTCCAATATCGAGATATCTGACATGGCATCGAACAGGCGGCGGCCTCAACTTGACCCAGAACCGAACCCACTGGCCTCTCGAAGGCGGTGCCATCGCCGTCCAGCCCGGCTACAACAGCGGCCACCAGAGCGCCCTCATGTACGTCAACATCGGCTTGGGTGAAGTGCCATCAAACTTCACCACCGTCATGGTCCCAATGTTCCACCTCACCGGTCCCACGAACGAGGCCTACGACGGCACAGTCTGTCTGCCGCATGTTCCGCTCCCCAGGACCGTTGAACCCAAGGAGGGTGACCTGGCGACGATCCAGGTCGTCCAGGCAGCGAGGCATGGTGGTGCTCTTTTCAGCGTACGTCCTCTCCAGGTGCTATTGATGGTGCCGGATAGCCTTGCTAACTGGAAATCAGTGCGTCGACATCATCTTCACAGGCGATGAGTCCAAAACTGCCCCAGTGAACGAGAGCAACTGCTTCAACTCGTCGGGTCTGAGCATCCAAGCTGCGAGTATCGCGATAAACGAAAACTCAATTACGGACCCGTCTCCTACGGTCGTTTCCACTCCTTCCCCTACGAACGCTGCAATCCGCATGGTGGCTCCGGTGTCGGGCTTGATTGCTGTGTTGTTGCTCCTAATATAGAAGCTATGCGGGCGGGTATATCCAGCTAACTGAGCAGATTGTTATTGTCTTATCTATGAAGTAGCCATAATTATTACTACTATTATGATTACGACTATTGTTATTCTTATCGTCGTCGTCGTTGATGTTGTTGTTGTCTTCGTTGGCATCGTCGTTTTAGTTATTATCGCCATCGTTCTTGTCGCTTTCGTCACTATTATCTGTGGTTGCTATTAAAATGATTATTAGATTCACTTCACCGAGATGTTGGTAGTCAGGTAGGTAGGGAGGCAAGAACTCCAAGGGCATTAGGGAGGACAGGGGTAACCAGCCAGTGAAAGGAGATACTGTCAACCACACATGCAATCGGTCACGAGTTTGCCGAGAGTGGAATCTGACAGAAGAGTGCAGCCTGATCCTCCAACGCGTGACTGCCTGATATCACGAACCCAAAAACACATTACTCGACACGTTCCCCAATGTCAACCAAATCACGAACAATATGTCAACCATGTACACTCCTCTCAAGGCCTCGCGCCGGGAAATTCGTCTCATTTCGATCCGTTCAGACTTGAACAAGCTTGACAGCGGTAATATGCTTCGAGACAGCATTCCTGATGGAACCCTTATGTGCTCCATGATAACGGCCTCTTTGAAAGATTGGACCCCAGACTATGCCGCCTTCCGAGCCAAGGTAATCGACAGGTCCCACTCGCCTATCACTCTCTATGAGGAGTGGGAACATTTCTCGCGCGAGAAGAATGGTTCTATGGATGACGACACACCCACTCCTAATAGGTTCGTGTGGGGAGACTACGAGACCATAAGCTACACATGGGAGAATGGGTCGAACACAAAGCACACTATCCACGTCAACGATAGGCCGGCCATTCGTCGTTCAATATAATCTCTTTCTGGCACTGCAAGAGTTTCGGAGAAGCGAAGACTTTGTGGAAGGCCGGAAGCGGATGCTTTGGGCGGATGCAATCTGCATTAATCAGTATGACCTCGACGAGCGAGCTACCGAGGTCAAAAGAATGAATGAGATTTTCAGCACTGCAACCAAGTCGATGGTCTGGCTCGGAACGTCCCTTGACATCAAAGGCGCAGATACGAAAGTCTACTTTGACCTCATCGGGCGTCTCTTAGACAGTCTCTATCGCTTGGCGCTCTCGGATGACTCGTCGATGGACTCCTTACAACTAGCATCAACTGAGACCGTTCCATCAGAAGCTAGATGTATGGATGAGCATGATCCTGAAAACCAGGGAACCCGTACAGTGTCGGAGAAAGCTCTTGTTGTGATTTCACAGTTCAATCCTCCAGAGCGTCCTCCCATCTCTCTACTTGAAACGCTGTCCGCTGACGAGCGCCTACTGGCCATGCTGTCTCCCATATTCCGCCTCGATTATTGGAATCGGGTTTGGATAATTCAGGAGCTCACTGTCAGCTCTAGTCAGACAGTCGTACGAGCAGGGTCCTCAACGATCTTGTTCGAGCGACTGTCTTGGTTTGCAGAATGGTTTGTCAAAGCTACTATATTTAACCCAGCTTGGTCACCCGATGACGAGTACACGAGGACCTTCATGAACACGCTTCTTCTACTCAATACGATCTATGAAGCTCGGCTCCAACGTGGACCCGACGAGCCGGGGACAAGTCCCGAACACCTTTTGATACTACAAGGCCTCATGTCTCGCTCGTCTATACCCCTGGACAAGCTATACGGAGTGCTATACGGAGTGCTAGGCCTGTTGCAGCCGGCTACGTATCTTGGAATTGATGTTGACTATACGAAGTCTGTTCGAAAGGGCTCGATTGATGCGGCGATTGCTTTGATTCGTGTTGGGGAAAGTCTCGGGTGTTTTGACATACGCAGAGAATTTCAAAGCTTACAAGTGCCTTCTTGGGCACCAGACCTTTCGACAGATCATGATCTATTTTCGAGTATCGCGATGTACGTTTATATGAGAGATTCAGCTGCGATCCCTGAGGTAGACTGGGAAGCCTTTTGGGAGCGTCAACTTGGACTGAGTGATCAAGGCATCTTGAGTCTTAAAGCCACATACCTGGACACAGTTGATGGAGTTGCGGCTTGTGTGCCTGTAAACAGTGGAAGTCTGGAAAGCTCGTCTCAGAAGCTTTTTCTGCCAAGAACCATTGATTATTCAATGATGCAGCCGACACGACTTTGTCACTCTTACAGGGATGACTCGGAGATGCTAGTCCATCTGGATGCGATTCTGCGCCAGATTCCGAATTGGGAGACGGATGAGTTCAAAAGCAAATACTATGCCGAGGGGTTACCTGACGCCTTTAAACTCGGTCTTCTTGCAGTGAGTTTGGAGCTGGCCAGTAATGGTTCGTCTGTATCGATACCCTTCGGAGTTTCGGCAGGGACAGCCACGGAGTTGGCTCTCTTGAAGCAGTTCCTTGATGCTAGTGTCGACTTCATACTTTGGAAAGAAGCTATCATTGTTTTTTCCCGGAATTGGGCAGAAGCCAGGGCCCTCGATCTCAGCATCCCAAAAGTCGGACTCAGCAAACCTCTTAGACACGGATGAGTTAAAGGCACTCGAGAATATGATGCGATATGTTAACTTTTGGTCACTTCATGAGGTGCGCCTGGTCACCACCATGAGTGGATATCTTGGTGTGGCTGCTCAACTTGCAAGACGAGGCGATATGGTTTATGCGGTCGAGGGTTATGGGTGCCCTGTCATCTTGCGACCTATCGCGAACGCGGATACGTATGAGTTCATCGGTCTGGCTGAGATTTGGAGCCCGACTGTGAGCGGAGCGTGGGAGAACATGGAGTTTGACTGTATTGTTAGACTACAGTGAGGTTCACTAATAAGATTTCGATTAATTACCATACTAACAACCTCCCCTCGGCCACTATTGACAGGAAGGATTCTGCTGCTGTTGGCATTAGATTCATTGAATGCCCTGAGTGGACGTTTTCCGTGTTGTTTGAACGCCTGTAATGGCGGGAAGGTCCAGCGTTTGCTGCCTGTTATACACGTTAGTAGCGTATACAGTCCGTTGCACTAATAGCGTCCGCTCCCCCTTTTTACTGAAATTATATATATATAATCCCTATATATATACATAAATTTACTTAACGCTATATAGATATTTATAATATAGTAATTAATTTATTTTAATAGTTTTAATTAATCTATTCTTATTAAATCATATAATCTAAAAATATTATAATATTTTTTAACTGTTACTATATATTTTAATAAGTAGATAATAACTTATTTAGGTATTATCTATTATTTATTATTAATAATATATAAAACTAAGAATATATATAATAATTAATATAAAATATTATTAAAGATCTTTTTAAATATTTTATTTTATTATTAATTAATATTACTCTATTTACTTAAAAAGCTTATTAAGTTACTACTACTAAAAGAGCTATTAAAAATTACCAAACAAATTATTATTATTAAAGTTAGTTTTAAAACTAATAATTTAGTAGTTTTTAAATTTATATTATAAAGAAAATATATATAGAGCTTTCTTATTATTATAAAAATCTTTAAAATATTCTTTTATTAAAAAATAATAATAATATAAAAGAAATAAAAAGAAGATCTATTATAGAAGATCTAGTTTAAATTCTTTTATTTTTGTTAATACTCTTATTTTAATTAGATTTAATTTTATTTTATTTAACTTTTTATTGAACTCTTTAATTTATAAATAATATATTTATAACTTCTTATTACAATGTTAATAATACATCTATATTATTTCTTAATATATTTAAAAAGGGAAGAATATAGGTAATAATAAACTAACTTTATTATAAATCTAAGTTAGTTAAATAAATACTAACTAATAATAAATAATTAATAATTGATAACTAAATATAATCTATGTAATAATAAACTTTTAATTATAAACAAGCTAAATCATTAAGAGAGTTATTGTTTTTATTAACTACTAAAGCTATTTACTCTAAAAAACTTATATTAAACCTCTTAATATATTTTTATATTATTTAAAGCTATATAAAATATATATTAAATAGATATATAAAATTATGTAATAAATCTTTTTTTCTATTTTTTTATAAATATTATTTTAATCCTTTATAAAAATAAAATATACTTTTTTACTATTTACTTAGTATAAAAATAAAATAACTAACTAAGTTAATAATATCTCTATGAATAAATTAATTACTATAGAGATATTAAATATATTTTTATATTTTTATTATATAGTTATATATTTAAATACTACTATAACTATAGTAATTAATAGTAATTATAGTATTAGTAATAGATTTAGCGCGTTTTGCGTACGATATAGAATAATACGCGTTATAGCGTAAAATTAGCTTCTTTTTATGTTTTTACATAAGTGGGGGAACAAAAGGGGGGGCGGACGCTGTTAGTGCAACAGACTGTATTTCATGCCGACCAGTGGATAAAAGGTCCATGCAGCTGAAGGATTATCAGCCCGCCAAAAACGGAAATCTTCAGACGTGTCACCAGACAGACTCGTGGGGTAGAATTTCTACTTTAGAAACAGCTATGAGCAACCAAGCGCTCTATTGACTCAGTAACACCGGGCCTACGTCCGGAGTACAAATTCAACGATCTTCTGCTACATTTATCTGAAAATCATCGATCTTTTGATATTTTACAAATTGTTTGAATATATCGGGGATTATGCGTGATTGTTGCATACTCGTTAATACTCGACTACGAACAAGACGGCGCACGACAACTGACTTTCCGGAACGTGGTCACCCAGCCAATGAGTACCAAATCGACTACCGCTTGCACTCAACGACACAAGCACGGATTCTTTAAGCTTGAAAATGTCACTTGGCGCACAGAAGCTACCCAGGCCTCGTCCCGGCCAGGACTGGGATGCAAAGAAGGACATCCTACAGCGCTTGTATCTGAAAGAGAACAAGCCTCTAAGAAAGATTGTGGGCATCATGCACCACCAGTACCTCTTCTTGGCAACGTACGTGTCCTCTAAACTGTGGATTTACCCGGAACTGGCCTATGTACAAGCGGCAGTTCATGAAGTGGAAGTGGCGGAAGTACAACTCTGAGGGGCTTCGACAAAGTCAGCTGAGTGGTGACAGGGTGGAAATGGTCGAAGGCGAGATTCCATGCCAAAGACCACGGCGCAGACGCCTTGGCCCGCTCTTGGGTCGAGGATACGCTGGGAGGCAAGAGAACTGTCCATTCCCCATACCATCAACTTGTGTTGTACATGGGACCGAGAACGATCGCCTGTCACATGGGCTTCTCCTCAACTTGCACGACTTGATACAAGGCGCTTCTCGTCGGGACCCCGAGTGGCATCGACGCGCAAGGTTCAACTATCTTCCCATCCCGGGGCGTCACTTTAAAGCTCTGGCACGACTCGGGGCATATTTCTTCGACATCAAAGATTTTAAGCGCGGCGGGAATATATTCCATGAAGCCTTCCAAGGCATTGAAGACATTCTCACCCAAGAGCCCATAGCAACCTTCCGCATGTTGCTTCTAGAAATCCTCCATCTACTCACTGATCACGGCATACTTCAGTCCTATCTGCAACTTGTCTCGGAAATGCTGGGTATCAAACAACGGGGCCACCCTATCCACCAGATTGCCCAGTTCATGTCCAATATTGCGGCTTCATGCCGCGAGGATCTGTTGGACCACATGAAGCGACTTCGAACCTTGATCATGGATGAATATGTCGGTCTGCGAGGGCGTATCGACTTGCACAGCATTGAGGCTACTGTTGAAGCGATGAATTGGTACGATGATGAGAGACGTGTACAGAGCTGGTCTAACCTTCTGGGAAGCTACGAGGCTCTGCTTGACGAGGCGAGCTCTACATTCCGAACCAACAGCTTTGAAGTTACTCGCGTCGAGCATAGTCGTGTGGTCGCAACTTCCCTACTGATGAATCACAAGTCACCCGACTTCTTGGCCCTGTGCCATCGCCATCTCTCTCGTTTAGCTGCGGCAAACAACAACGGTCCTTTACAGAGTTGGGATAGCTGGTCATTGAGGCTGTACGGCAGGACGATAAGCTTTATGGCAAAGTTCCATGAGACATCAGGCAACACGTATTCTGGCATTGAATGCTTGAAGAAGGCAGTTGAGGCGACAGACTATGCCCAGAGCAAAGCGACAGGGGGTGATAAGTTACGGTATTCAAGTACCGCGTTGCTGACTCGTGTCAAGTTGGCTAAACATCTTGTGAACTGTGGTAGAGTGATGGAAGCGATGGAGCTAAAGGCTGAAGTTCCTGAAAGTTCGGCGAATTTGCAACAAATGGTGCGGGATGAACAACTTTGGTGAGTTAGCGTTGGCTATAAGCCGACAAAGGACAATATGTCAAAGTCGTCTACACTTTTAGTGGACCTCGTTCACGGTTGATATATCTGTCAATAATAATTTCATAGATCTCACGTGCGAGCTTGAACTCATGTAACATCGCATTGTAACGAAATACTACTGGGGTATCATGTTCGCTATGGCCATCGTCTCAGTCGTGCTCATCCCATCCTGCCACATGATGCCCTGCAAGGTCTGCATCGAGTCGTTGCCAAACTGGAAATCATAAGGCATCTGACCAAATCCATCCACAATCATCTGTCCCCAAAACATCTTGTCCATGGTGACATCATCCACCCAAGACATGCTCGGGTCGTTCGCTGAACCCTCCGCGTTGTTGGGTTGTTGTTCGGCAGACGGTTCCCGCTGTGGAGGAGACACTTTGCTCAAGTACCAGTTCTTCATCCATCGCGCACGGTAGGCGTAATTCGCCCATCTAGACGTCTGGTCTTCGAACAGACGCCTCTTCTGGCCGACAACGAGGGCAACGTTATCCGCCTCTTCAAATCTGTCCGCCATTCGTTGTGCGTTTTCCGCGTGTGGAATCTTTTGCCGAGCGATAGTAACGTCCCAGTCGGGGCTGCCGTCTTCCAAAAGAAGCCGGTTCGCTGCCATCATTACGAAGGCGGTACTGGAGACCAGGGTGAAGGGCAGGTATGCATATATCTCTGCGGGTATGGACATTAAAGCATCCATGGCGGCCTGAACACATTCAAGGCATTTCCAGAGGGCGTCAGTTCGGCTATACGGCTCGGTCGGCGACGCTGTATCTGCTGGGCTCATTGGCCGCATACCCAGTGCAGGCTCGTAGAGTCTGACTGCGAGGGTCAAATAGTGACACCAAACAAGCGCTGCGCGGAGGAATCAGGTAAGCAGATGTTGCCTGCATTAGAGAAAGAGCACTTACGATTATCTTTGTTTATAGCAGGCTCCTCTTTCTGAAGGTCCTCCATCTCCTTCCGTACGGACGAGAATATTGCGCTGTAGTGCTCCTTAAAGAATGGGGCAGGCGTGTCCTCGTCTCTGTCATAGATAGGGAACAAAGATCTGAGACGATCGGTTATGTGTTGCATGCGGACGAAGGCAATTAAGCTCGAGTCTGTTGCGAACTCCCCTGCTTCGCGGATAGTTCTGCAACATCGCGCCATATATGCTGACCATTGTACTTGGGGGCTTCTTCGCATTGACATGGCCACGCTATGGATCACTAGATCAGCATTGATTCGGAGCGAGATGGGGCTAGAACTGAGCCTCATACCTAGATGCAATGAAATAGCCTCCCAAGACCGCTCTCTGCTCTTCGAGAGTCTGTTTTGGGGTTTCGAAGTGTTTTCCTTTGCTGATAACAGCCCATGCATCCGATAACATGGTCTTGGGCATCCAGGCTAGTGGCCCAGCAAGAGTGTTGATGCTCATGTCTGAGACCATGCCTATGGCAAGTTGTAGAAGACCGTTGGCACTCATGCCCAAGTGGATGTGGATGTCACCCCTGAACGTGAAGACGAAGGTTAGCAACCTCAACTGGGCAAGACTGAGAAGGGATGAACCAACCAAGCATAGCAGGCAATGTAGATCAACAGGCCCTGCAGCAGCTCAAGCTTCCTCTCCCTGTTCACGATAATATGCACTGCTGCATGGTGCCTGATCCAGTCATCTACCGCCTTCTGGACAGGGGCTTCCTGAGGAATGAGAGCCTGCATGATGCACCAGAAAAGAAATCTCTTTTGGGAGTGGAGTTCCCGCGCCGTCACATTCACGTGGATAGGTATGAAGGGAAAGTGTGGGACCATGCGAGTGCGGTAGATGTTGAGGAATTCTTCGGCTTGATCCATGGTGAGGGAGAGTCCAGGGACCAACTGCAAGGTATTCGAAGGACCGACATCTGGGGTTTGTTGGGTGCTGTGAGGGTCAGGGGTGACGGCGTTGGAGGATGCTTCAGTATCAGGTTGAGGCATGGGCAGCCCGGTGCAAGGCAGTAGTCCTCGCAGCTGGTTTTCTTCATAAGTCGATGAACTGGTAGCGGGAGTAAGAGTTTCAGCTCCATGTTGCTTGGCCTGTCGTTGATTCTGGAAAAGGTTGACCAGGCCATCGATTTTCTTCTCTAGTTCTGTGACTCGACTAGGGTGAGCTGTCAGCGCCAAGGAAACACAGATGATCAACGCAGCTGATATTCAATGCCAGAAGACACAATAATATCTCAGTTCGGCACTGGAGAAGTGTCCAGAAGAACATCAAAAAAGATCCTACCTTGACTTTCCCCGTTTCTTTCTGGGTACTGGTTCCGGCACCCGACAGCGGATGTTCATCCGGGAACATCTAGCTTGTATTAGCTCTCTGCAAGTCATTCTTGGAGTGCCCAGAATGGAGTCCGCAATCTCTCCCTACCTTGTGCAATCGGTTGGTTCACCATGCTCCGTCGCCGGTGGCCACCTGCATCTGATCTTGAGGCGCGCACAATTGCTGCAAGCTCGGAGCTTTTTGGCGTTCGCAATGAACTCCGGGCTACTGCCCTCCTCTTCTGGAGAAACATTTGTCATCTTCAAGCCGATGGAACAACAATTATGGCGTGTGCTCTGTGAATTTGGCGCTCAAAATGGCATATCACAAGCAATGGCAAAATCGCAGAAATGTCGCGGATGACGGCGTAGCTGGGAACGGACGAAGGCTGTCAAAGGCCGGGGACCGGTGTCAGTCTTAAGTCCCGTATGTCGAAGATCGGTCGACAATGGCAGCATCTGATTGGGCAGATGATGATATGCGAATACGGAGTCGGGTGTTAACTTACCACCCGACCGCCGATGGACACGCAAATTCCCACTTTCGCCCGTGTTAACCCCGGCTAGGGAGCCATTTTGGCGGGACAAGGGTCAGCGCTAGGCAGCATCTTCCACCAATTTGCATGAGCGCCTTCGGACGTGACCTCCTTTGCTGCAACAATTAGAGACCTGCTGCCTGTCGAGGCTGAAGCGAAAATTGAGCAGACCTCCACAAATTGGATGTGGCTGGGCTCAAAGGGTAGAAGCAGACCAAAGTCCCTGGAGATCTCGTGGGATCGGGTCTCGGATTAGCCCACTAATTACCAACACTTGCTGACGGGCTATTTCCCGTACGGACCGATGTCGAGGGCAGTCAGAATGTTCATACATGAGGACCAATACAAGAAGATGGGATTGTTTTTCGAGATGGCCGAGAGTAGTACAAATACTCGAAAAGCACAGGCAACCTAGTGTTAGATATCGAACATCTAAATTCCCATATTTGAACACCAGCGCAAACGATAATAGGTATTCATTCGAATGGCGTCTTCCGGGGCATATTCCGCCGAAACCATGTAAGTTTGCGGACGTCCTTAGCGGCTCGGCAGCGGAACACCTGCTCACGAGTGACATCACACCAGGCCGGTCAACGCTACACCAGCACTGAGGACACCCTCAGAGAAAACGGATATACCGGAGTCGGAACAGGGTGCCCAAAGCCAAGACGAAATAATCGAAGTCTATCCCAGCGGCCCGGCCCTTACGGCGATCTCGATTGGTCTATTTCTTGCTATTCTCTGCTTTGGCCTAGTAAGATCTCGACAGCCAAGCAAATTTTACTGCTATCTATTTACCGACACCTCGTCTCTCATAGGACCGCTCAATCTTGGCTACTGCCATTCCTAAAATCACTTCAGAGTTCAATTCGCTGTCCGACGTAGCGTGGTACGGGTCGGCCTACCTCTTCACACAATGTTCCTTTCAGCTCCTCTTCGGAAAGCTCTATGCCGAGTGCAGCATCAAGTGGATCTTCCTGATCGGGCTGGCCATCTTCGAGGTGGGGTCAGTGGTGTGTGCCGCGGCCCCGAATTCCGTCGTTCTCATCGTCGGACGAGCGGTTTCCGGAGTGGGTGCGGCCGGCCTGATGACCGGGGCTTTAATTGTAGGTTTCGGGAGCGCCAACGGCCGCCGCAGACACCGGCTGACAAGGATCTAGATCATTACCAAGAGTGTACCGCTTCATAAGCGGCCCACTTTCACCGCCGCGATTGATGCCGCTGCCGGAGTCTCTCAGGTCATCGCGCCGACCCTCGGCGGCGTCTTCGTTGACAAGGCTACCTGGAGTACGATCTTGGCTGCTATCATTTGGATGATTTTCTGTTTGCTGACTTGTGGCAGGATGGTGCTTTTGGATCAATCTCCCCTTGGGAGGTGTAACTTTCGCTGTGATTCGCCTCTTTCTGAGGCTTCCCGAACAGGCAAAGAAAGAACCAAGAGGCTTCAAAGAGTTCATGGACAACTTTGACCTTGTCGGAACACTGCTCCTCATTCCATGGGTCATCTGTCTTCTACTGGCTCTACAGTGGGGCGGAACCGAGTACGCATGGAGCAACTGGCGCATCATCCTCTGCTGGTGCATCTTCGCGGTCTGTTTTCTTTTGTGGGGCTTCGTCCAATATCGCGAAGGCGACAAGGCAACGGTTCCTCTTCGCATTATGTCTCAGCGAACCATGATCGCTTCATGCTGGACGATCTTAATCTTGTTCTCTCTTCTGTTTATCGATGTCTACTACATCCCGATCTGGTTGCAGGCCGTCAAGAACCACTCAGCCTACAAGAGTGGCATCGACCTGCTCGCATCATCAGCCTCGATGTCTGTGGCGACAATTGTGTCCGGGATCTTGGTACGTCCCTCCGCCGTTTTGACGACGTTGACACTTCATGCTGATAAATCATTAGACGAGTCAAATTGGCTACTACGTGCCGCAAATCATCGCGTCATCTGTCATTTCCTCCGTGGCTGGTGGCTTGATCTATTCGTTTACCGTCAACACTGACACGGCGTTCTGGTATGGCCTGTTACGTTTTCCGATTCAGTCTGCCCAAAGTGCTAACATCTGCCTCAGGGCTGCTTCACTCGTCCTAATGGGATTGGGAGTGGGTCTGGGAGTGGGTCTGGGAGGGCAGCAGTGCATCATTGCCGCGCAAACCGTGTTCAAGGGGCGCGACATCGCCCTCGCTACTTCGGTCTTGGTGTTCCTCCAGAGCCTGGGCGGTACTGTGTTCCTGGCCGTTGCGCAAAACATCTTCAGCTCGCGACTCGTCGCCGAGCTCCGCCGAAACGTCCCCAACGTAAATCCGGCCGTGGTCATCAACGCCGGAGCATCGGGGCTGGTGGACTCTATGCGCAAGACCTACCCCGATTCGGTGGACGGCATCATTGAGTCGTACAACAGGGCACTACAAAACGTGTTTCTCATTGCGACCGTTCTCGGATGTTTAACAGTCCTCGGAATTGGGTTTTTCGAGTGGAAGAGCGTCAAAGAGAACAAGCCGGAGACGGATGTAAAAAGCCAAACAGACGGAGATACGGAGAAATAATAGGGCATCGGCTTTTGGAACAGGGTTGTTCCAAGTTACCGGATATTGCAATTAGATGGCGTACATGTTGGATAGAATAGATCAGGCTCACTAGATTGAAGTGATCGCATATGGTAATACAATCGTGATTTTGACACGATCAAGACGTGCGCACGACCCTAAAATACATCGAACCATTTCCCGCTTTCAGCCCAAGAACTCAGTTGACGTCAAGACCAATTTGGTCTCCCGCGCGCGTGGGAAGTATCTTCCGGGAGCTGCAATGCCATAAGATGTGCAGGTTAATATGCCCTTTGTGCCGATCTCCCGCTCCCCTATGCTCCTCGACGCTCGGAGATCCCCCACCACGGAAAGTCGTGATGGAGCCAGAAGGCGGCCAACGCATCGTGAGTGTTCGAAACGACTCCGCAACCGTTTCATCCGGTCATAACTCTACTCTATAGTCAAAATGGCTAACTCCTGCAAGCCCGCGGCCGGTGAGCGAGGATAAGCTACCCCCCGCAGCTTCGCCCCTTGCGCTTGTCGTCCAATCTCGGGCCACCCTGACACAGCAAGACAGATTGTTGACTGGCCGGCTCCCCCTCCATTCCGAAAGAGCGAAGTGCCGCCCCTCCCACCGCATGTTTAAGCAGCATCTCTGCATATTCTTCTTCATTTCTAAGCAGAAAGCCAGTTCGGTAGGGAGTGTGGCCGAAGAAACGAAACAAGGCACGTTTGAGGTACTCAGCACGTCCTATTGGGCAGTTCGGTCATCCCATCTCTCGGGAGCCCCAAGCTTCACTTGCTACCCCTGTTGATCGCGGCAGCAAACCGAGAAAAAAGATGAATGTCCGTCCGTTTTGAAGGGCTTAGTCGGTCTCATGATGGGGAGAATTTGGCCCAGTGCGGAAGGTTAAGAGAGAAAAGCTTCGTTCTAGTCAGCGGGTGCAGGAGCGATGCTTTCCTGCGAGTGCGATTCGTTTTAGATTCTGCAGTGCAAAGGAGTAGTAGCTTAAATATCACAAGGCCCTCCTCCAACCTCCTGCTGTTGTGTGGGATTATTAGCGTTCTTGTTGCGATATCGAATCAACGTCTCTAGTAATTAACATCCAGCCCACGGGTCTCCGTCTGTCACCATGAAGTTCAATACGTTCGCCGTCTACTTCTCCGCCATCATCGGCGCGTCCATGGCTGCTGCCATTGAGGGTAAGCAGACGAAGTTATGAGGTCAATGTGCTATGACTCCGAGCTAACCCTGTTGCAGAGCGCCAGGCACCACCTGCTCCTGCTCCCATGCCTCCCGCGGGTGCTCCTCCCGGACCTACTCCCAAGGTCATCCCAGTCCTCGTCGGTAGCCCGACTCGTGAGAAGTCGTTGCTCTTCTACCCTGAGATCGTGAGAGCTCAGCCCGGCGACATCGTTCAGTTCCAGTTCTGGCCCAACAACCACACCGTCACCCAGGCTGCGAACGTTCAGGCACCATGCCTGCCTCTTGG